CACATCCTGATCAGTGCACCCCTGGGTGTCCCCAGATCTTATTGGGTGGCCCTGTTCTGTGGCCCAATGGCCACCTCAAAATGTGCCAGGTCCAGTTCGGTGTCCCCAGTGTCCCTGGGTGTCCCCAGATCCTGATCAGTGCACCCCTCAAATGGTTGGTGGCTCTGGCCCTGTGCTGTGCCCCAAAGGGTACCCCAAATGTGCCAGGTCCAGCTCGGTGTCCCCAATGACCCTGGGTGTGCCCAAATCCTGATCAGTGCACCCCTCAAATGGCCACCCATTTTATTGGGTGGCCCTATGCTGTGTCCCCATGGGTACCCCAAATGTGCCAGGTCTAGCTCGGTGTCCCCAATGTCCCTGGGTGTCCCCAAATCCTGATCAGTGCACTCCTGGGTGTCCCCAAATCCTGTTGGGTGGCCCTGTGTTGTGTCCCCATGGGTACCCCAAATGTGCCAGGTCCAGCTCGGTGTTCCTGATACCCCTGGGTGCCCCCAAGTCCTGATCAGTGCACCTCTGGGTGTCCCCAAATCCTGTTGGGTGGCCCCGCGTTGTGCCCTGATGGGTACCCCAAATGTGCCAGCTCCAGCTCGGTGTCCCCTGGGTGTCCCCATGTCCTCATCTGTGCTCCCCTGGGTGTCCCCAGATTTTATTGGGTGGCCCTGCGCTGTGTCCCCATGGGTACCCCAAAGGTATCAGGTCCAGCTCGTTGTCCCCAGTGTCCCTGGGTGTCCCCAAATCCTGATCAGTGGTATCCCCAAGTCCTGATCAGTGCACTCCTGGGTATCCCCAAATCTTATTGGGTGGCCCTGTGCTGTGTCCCCATGGGTACCCCAAAGGTATCAGGTCCAGCTCGTTGTCCCCAGTGTCCCTGGGTGTCCCCATGTCCTCATCTGTGCACCCCTGGGTGTCCCCAGATCTTATTTGGTGGCCCTGTTCTGTGGCCCAATGGCTACCTCAAAATGTGCCAGGTCCAGCTCGGTGTTCCTGATACCCCTGGGTGTCCCCAGGTCCTGGTCAGTGCACCCCTGGGTGTCCCTAAATCTTACTGGGTGGCCCTACCCTGAGATACCTGATGGCTACCTCAAAATGTGCCAGGTCCATCTTGGTGTCCCCAATGCCCCTGGGTGTCCCCAGATCCTGATCAGTGCACCCCTCAAATGGTTGGTGGCTCTAGCCCTGCGCTGTGCCCCAAAGGGTGACAGGTGTC